TGAGCAGGGAGCCCGATGCGGGACTCGATCCCGGGACTCCAGGATCATGACCTGAGCCGAAGGCAGTCGCTTAACCAACTGAGCCACCCAGGCGCCCCTCCCCACTGTATATTCTTGACTCCTTTGTCATAAATTAATTGACCGTATATGCATGGGTTTATTTCTAGGCTCTCTGTTCTGTTCTGTTGATCCTGTGTCTGTTTTATGCCAATACCATACTGTTTTGATTACTATAGCTTCGTACTACAGTTTGAAATCAGGAAGCGTGATGCCTCCAGCCTCGTTCTTATTTCTCAAGATTGCTTTTGGCTGCTGGACTTAATTTTGCCTCACTCACTATAGTACCAGGTAGGAAATGCAGGGTGAGACTTACTCATAATCTGGCAGCTCAGTTTGTACATGTGAATATTTGGGGCACAGATGAAAAAGGAATAAAGCAAGATAGGGTAATTGGGATTTGGGCCTAGGCTGGCTCCATCTACTAAAGGATGATCATCAGGCTCCATGACATTGACCACTTGACCTTGATCAGCAAGTGGCAGATATGTACAGGGGAGTTTGTGGGGCTGATGGAGTGATTCCTCCATCAATGCCTCCATCATGCCAAAGATCCCCTGCACTCACTGGCCTCGCTAGAACCTTGTGCTCTTGTACCTGCCCAACACTCGAGTGCCCCCATCTCTTTGTTCATACCGAGCGTGCCCAGTGACACCTTCTCCAATCCCACTCAACTGCCTCCTTCCTCCCTGGGTGTCTAAACCCTAGAATCACTGGAGCACAAAGGTCAACTGATCATCTCCTCGTCTTCAGGAGGTAGGATATCTAGCCATTCCAGTTTGCTCAAGACTGAGGGATTTCTCAGAACGTGGGATTTTAGTGCTGAAACTGGGACAGTTGGTCACTCTGATAGGCAGACAAGGGAGACAGCCCACTTCAGATCCCTCTCTCTAGGAAGTCTTGCCTGGTCTCCTTAGCTGGGAGCAATCTTTCCATTGAACTTCTCCTAGAACATTATTTGTGCCTGTCCATGTCCATGCTTGAACTCCACATCCACCATACTCCAGGATTCAAGTAGATGAGGCTATGGTTTGAGGACACCTTCTTATTGTGTGTCCAGTAGTCCTGTATGCAGCAGATGAGGGTCAGAGCTGGAGGTGGATGCAGGCTGGGTGACCTACCTGGGGCTCTGCCGTTCAGGCCCTTTTCACAGCTGTGGAAATTTCTGCAAAGCTGGCTCAGATAGTGCTCTTTGAAACATTTAATTACATATAAAGATCTTGAAGGCTCTCTGTCCCCTCCCAGGGAAACATTACTTTTTCCTGGTCCTTCTGAAGTTGGCTTTGGAAAGTAAAGAAATTGAACTGAAGATGAAGCAACCGGGGAGGGAGGGTAGAGCGGCGGGG